AGATAGATAGATAGGTAGTTAGATAGATAGATAGATAGATAGATAGGTAGATAGATAGATAGATAGATAGATTAGATAGATAGATAGATAGATAGATTAGATAGATAGATAGATAGATAGATTAGATAGATAGATAGATAGATAGATTAGATAGATAGATAGATAGATAGATTAGATAGATAGATAGATAGATAGATTAGATAGATAGATAGATAGATAGATTAGATAGATAGATAGATAGATAGATTAGATAGATAGATAGATAGATAGATTAGATAGATAGATAGATAGATAGATTAGATTGATAGATAGATAGATAGATAGATAGATAGTTAACTCTAACCATCGATTCTCAGTGGGAATCCATAGCAAGGTATTTCCATCAGGGGTCTCTGCATCTACACTTCGTTAAATGCACAGTTGTCGGATCGCTGGTGAATCGCATCGAGAAACCATGCTCGGACGAGTTCATTCGAGCAGACGAACTGACTCAATAGGGTTTTACAGCTGGATGTTATGTTATTCGAATCGTGTGCCCAAAGTACTTTTCTGAAGAGGAGTCCTTCCACACATCCCCATTATGAAGCTTAAACGGGCGTTTCACAAAAAACAAAAGCATACAATGAGAGAGTTCAAACGCAGTCAGTGGGAAAAGACCAAATTAGCCTGCAGATTGCGAAAGTCCACGGCTCAAAACGGGACACGAGATCCGAAGATCTGTAATCGAAAATAGCTGGTCGAAGTAGAATACTTCAGGCCTGCTCAGGTCTGCTCGGCGCTTGCGACGTGCTCCAGTGGCCTGAGGCTAATCTGCTAATCACCGGAGACGAACCCTAAGCATGCACAGGGATACGAACTCCCGGTAGTCTCTAATAAAACCAAAGCGGTTCGATATGGACTAATCGTGTCAGGATAAAATGCGAACTGTCGAGGCATGAGTGATCTGTTTACCAATTTCGCAGATGTGGCAAACAAACACACAGTTTATCTGAGTGAATAGTTCCAGTTTTTGACGATGGCGCCTCTGTTAATCAGTAATCACCGCACCCATTGAGACGAATAAAATTCAATGTAACTGGGATATTGTAGTCGCAGTAGGAGGAAAGACCTACTAACACATGCAGGTTTTTTTCAAAAGATTCTTCAGTCCAAAACTGGTGATATTTCAGCGGTCCAGAGTACATTTCACCTTTAACTCCAACTGTTAGGCAGAACTCGATTTTTCTGATAGGAAACGGAGTGTGCATACGGTAACCGGATAACGTGGGTGTGGGTGTGCGTGAACGCTTCAATTACCACAAGAAAAGTGCCTGTCTTTCTGCTTTACCATCTTCGAACGTTAGATGCTGTATCGAGTAATCTTGTAGTCTGCCCGAACTGTTTCTCAGTGCAAGTGTCGTCTAGCATAGTTCTGACGTGACAGAAAGATTCTGCCGTCAACCAAAGACCAGCTGGATTCGTTACATATAAAAGCACAACGAAAATATCGCGTTTAGATTGATAGACTGCTGATAGCTTTTCTGGATTCTGTGTTCTTAAACCAAGAAAAAACTGCTAGCTTCTGTTGCGTCTGGTAAGGCGGGCTTTTCCAGTTTGGTGTGTGTGGATCGATCGATATCCCGAACGCATCCAAACGGCGAAAGATGTAATGACATCCTGTTGTGCACGGCTGAGGAAACGCAGACAGCCGACTTGCCGAATACCATCAGAACTTATCAAATTTCTGTTTCGCCCATGAATAGGCGGTACTCTGTCTGAATCGGGAATTGGTGCAGCCGCGTCAGCTGAAAATTGCTGGACTGGCATTCAATTCCGTCTAAATGGAATTGGACGGAGAGAGTTGGTGTAATTCCACTTGAACAGGTGGCGCTTTCGAATTCTTTAGGGTTCTTACTTTGCTTCAGGAGTTGAACTGAACCGGAGCGCCTAATTATCCGAAGTTTTCGGTAGACTGCGACGTTTAATGCAACACCAGTACGTGTTCTGGTAGGAATTGCGTGATGTTCAGTGTCCGGCGTTTAGTATCAATAACTCACTTTTGCCCTTCTGAGCAATCATGCTCACAACCTCATGTCGACATATGTACAGGTCACGTGGCAGCCCTATCTCTGCCTTTCTAGCTTAATCCCATTGGTGTTCAGCTGCTCGAAAGTACATTTCCAGGCAAGCAAACAAGAAGACGGGTACAAATGTGTCCCCGTTTGAGAAGATAATCTGAAGGCATCGACCAGATGTTCCGTTTTCAGAAGAGCACTTGGCCGTTGACCAATGCTTGAACAGATCAACTAAAAGTGCCAAATGTTGATTGACTGGCTCTGTCTCAAGTGCGGCGCGGAATCAGCACAAAGCAGGGCTTTCGTGGATGACTGAAATTTTTCAAAAGGCCGTACAAATGTAAAACATAATGCACCTTTTTCACAAGATTTCTGGAGAAATAGAACTTTCTAATTTGCAGCAATTGTAAGAAGAGCCCAACGGCGTAAACGCAGAGTTTGAATAAGGTGTTTTTTCAGGAAAGATTCATGTGTTTCAGGTACCGCATTTTCTGATTAGTTACTTATTTATTTATTTATTTATATTTTTCGTTGTTAATGCTGTTTGTTTACTGCTTATTGCAAACCATGGGAAATCAATATGACGTGAACATTCGCAGTTATCATCACGTTTCTCAATTAGTTTTCCTTCCTGAGTAGAACTTTTACACATATCATATAAACATTCGTTGTCAGGCCACACTTAAAAAAGGATGATATATACAGAAATTCTAAAGATCCAGTATCTACTCATGAGTAATCAGACAGAATTATCTGCCAGGTTTCGTACATCCACAATTGAGAAGTCGATCAATGCGACCGGAATAACCAGAACATTGTCTTTGTAATGCACTACTCATAAAGTTGCTGAAAATTATTCGACGGCCCGCGACCGGTTTCGCCCTTCTTGGGTCTCGTCAGGTAGGCGCAGTCTCCTGGTGTCCGTCAACATTATGTTCTACTTGAAACCAAATTGCACGAAATTAGCGAATATACACTCATTTGCAAACTAATTTGGTTGTGTGTGAGAGACTCGCCAGGAACCTAGCTGAATCTGTGAGTGCGAAACGTGATGTCTCGAATATCGTAGCGACTGAAACATGAGGCGGTCTGGTACAGCACATTCAGCAACATCACAAACGAGAGATTCAGCTGGGTTCCAGCTGAGTCTCTCAAAAAACCAAAGTAGTTTGCAAATGAGTGTATTTCCCTAGAACATTGTCTTCTTGGACGTCTGGTAAGTCTGTAACATTGGTTGCTCAAAATGCTCGATAGGATTAACTTGTACTGCTGGCATATGATGCTCACCTGAGACTTCGGTCCGAACCGTTGATGAACTCTGATAAGTCTGAGAAGTGTCGCGCTCCCCTCTATGATGTGGAGTTACCAGAATAGGACTGGAGGGGAAATGTACAGACACCAACAACGTTCCAGAAGTCGTCCGGTCTTGTTTTCAAAAATTTCCAAAACACATTATCCGACTATAGCGTTATTACAAGAAGCGATGCAACAGAAGAGTAAAGGAAAGTGAACAGTTACTCCGGCCGTTTTGCTTCTTTAGGGCAAGAACACTGTGACAGTGTTTAGACTGGTAAGTACAGCGGACTCGTTTTTTCAACCCTTCAGCCGTTCAGTGTTTGGATTCTCAGAGCTGGACAACATCCGGCTTTCTGCTAAAAACATGAGATGGTAGTTGATGGCTTAGGCAACAGTCGACGCGTTCTTGTTGGCATGTGCATAAAATTATGATCGTATTTGATGGTTTCAGGTTTTGATTGGTTAAATGTCCTGGCTTAGTGGTTAAAGCGCGAATTTACTGACCGTGGTTCGAACCCGAACTCTATGCTTCTCGACTTCCCCTGTCTAGCCTTGTGTAACTTGCTAGGATCACACCCCTCATGTGGTTCGACACTCTATGCTTCTCGACTTCCCCTGTCTAGCCTTGTGTAACTTGCTAGGATCACACCCCTCATGCTTCCTTCAGGTGGAACGGGAGCTAGCCAGCAAAAAGGTGCTACGGATGAACGAATGAATGTCCCGGAGGAATTTCGGTTCGAATTAGATGATCCTTTTCGATAAATACTCTCATCTGCTTACGAAATTAGTTTGGACGGTTGAATCAACCGGAACCAGCTTACGGTTGATGGTGACCCGATAGCTACGACTATGTGATGGAACCCAAGAAGAGCAGCACATTCAGTTGCCTGGAAACATCACAAACGAGAGATTTAGCTGAGTTCCAGGTGAGTCTCTCGAAAAAACCAAATTAGTTTGCAAATGAGTGTATATTCACTGATTTCGTGCAATTTGGTTTCAAGTAGAACATAATGTTGACGGACACCAGGAGACTGCGCCTACCTGACGAGACCCAAGAAGGGCGAAACCGGTCGCGGGCCGTCGAATAATTTTCAGCAACTTTATGAGTAGTGCATTACAAAGACACGGTCAAAATGTTTTAGGTAACATTGTTAGTAGTGTGTTACGTCTGGACGATCCATTGTTTGTTGCCACTGAAACTAGACTCGGCTTTTCCGGTTCAACGGGGTTTGTAACCTGTAGGGATCGCTATGTTCTGTTTCAACTCGGCGGATGTCACCACGCCACGTATGTCACTATCTCCCTCTGCCATCGACCAATAATCCAGAAAGAACATCTCACAGATTGCCATAGTTTTTCATTTGGGAACTGATTCCTCAGGCAGTCAGGCAACAAGTAATAAGGTGATGTTAACCGTCCAACGGGAAGATTAGCAGTGCTGACATCCACTCAACTCAACCTGCTGACTCGCAAACAAACGGTGTGGCGCTCAAATGGACGAGAATTACCGGTTCTCATTTCCCTAGAACCTCGTGACATGAGCCCCATGGTGAGGATCTTCTTCAAAGCTGTGCATTGCTCCCAAGTTTTTAGCATAGACCAACTTCACTTGTTTGTAGCACGAAAACTTCAAGAAACCTTTCAAGCAGTAGTTTTATTATTATCGTACACGACTGCGGATTTTTAATGGGTCCAAAATGAAACAAACCGGTTGTAAGTGAACTAAGGACGGATAGTGAATGAATGAGTGAGTGGGGGAGTGAATGAATGAATGAATGAACGAATGAATGAATGAATGAATGAATGAATGAATGAATGAATAGACACCAGCTCTCTAGAGAATTCTAACTTTCAAAACTACTCGAATCTCCCTTGCTTTTGATAAAAATAAGCTCAACACACAGTATTTCACCCATATGAGACCATTCACCATTTTGGGTTTGTGAGCACTAGACCTTCAATCGGGATTTCTGTGTAGCTCACCCGAATGCAAACGATCGGCGCCAACTAACGTAGGAGGAGAGACTAGAGTCGGAGTATCAGGTCTTTCTGCTGAGTGGCAAACAGAGCACAACCTGTGAAGCCCATCACACTACTTGTGATGTTCTCAAAATTCTCCCAAATGTACCTCAACCATATTTTACTTTCCACTGTCCAAGGTATCTTGAATAAACTGCCGGCGCACAAGGCGAAAAACCACCAATCCGAAAGGTTGTGAATCAAGCTATCTGGGTGGTCGAGACTGACTGTATTTCGAAGTACTGCTCGAAGTGATTACTCGCCAGCAACTAGGTTGCCACACTCCAAACATACATTCACAAACACAGACACACAAGGACCGACTAAATAACTCTGGTTGATCCGTGACCACGTGACTTTCGCCTTGGTTAAAGATTCCTACAGTTCAGCCTAATCAAAATTCAGCAAAATACTTTGTTTCCAGAATATCGTTTCGACTGTCTTCGCTGGCTGCCGTACATCCTGTTTAAAGTACCCCGTTTGCATTACCTCAAACTTGGCCTCTGTTGCATCGATAATAGATTTGCTTCCTAACCTCACGACCGCATTCCCGTGTATCCAATTCAACTTAGTTTTAAAGAAAATTAAACCATTGGAAGATTTTAGCACCTGAATCGTTGCACCGATCCTACCTGACAGTCTGTTGTAGAGGCATGCAGTGTACGTGCGAAATGACTTACCAATCCCCTGACGGTTCAAATGGTCCAAATCGTTCATGGTTTTCGCCTCCATTATCGATCGGGGAAGTTGGAGAAATGGTCCCTCCGTTCCGAGTCGTCTGCTAGGTTGAGACATATTCAGGAATAGTGGTCAAAACAAACTCTTGTTGCGCCTAGCATTCGTTGAAAATGCGCATTTAAACAAACACAGAAGAACTGCAGCCGGTTACGTATCACAGATGTCGAGTGAACCGACCAGCTAGCTACCTACATGCCATGTGTTGTAACCCCATGTGTTGATGATGGCAAGCAGCCAGCCGAGGGAACAAGTGCTGCCTTGTCAACACGACCGCTCCCATGAACAATGCGAGGGGCGAATTCAGGCCATTCGGGGCTTACTCAGCAACAAACATACAACAAAGGCGTAATCAACGCGAAAAAACACACGAATGCCAGTATCGTCTTGGACCGATTTCCCCCCACATCGGGGCCGACTGCTGAAGGAGTGATGGACAGACAGACAGGCAGACACAAACCGGCGCCTGTGTCCAGTGTGCTTGTACACCCGTGTGTACTGAGGAGCACGTCCGCGGCACAACGCACTGTCAGACCGTAGTGACCTGAGGAATCAGCCAAACAATATGATGGACGATGACCTGCGCGTTCATCGATGAATTCCAATTCCAGCAGTGGCCAGCAGCTAGAACACTGAACTTGACGTGATTACCAGGAATCATCAGTCATCTAACCTACTATATATATACAGCCACTCGACCCTGCGGAGTCAGTTCACTCGGAAAACGGAACGGATCATTCCGTCGATAATAATTTCAATGCTTCTAAAGTTTGCTAGCTACTTGATTAAGGAGGCAGTTCACGACAAAAATAATTTTTTTCTATTCGCTTGACAGTCAAGGATTTATCCTATACTACGGCAGAGCTAGTCTATGCCGAAAAGCTAAGAAGCTCGGTACAGTTGTTCCATCCTGACGGGAAGTGCGCAGTTCATGAGACTCACGGGACATCCCTGCTAGCGTAACGGTGATACTACTGATGGGGAGGCATGCGAGTAGTATGTGTTGTTCTTTGAATTTCGCTCTGCGTCTCTTGAAAAGGGAGATCTATTGCGGAATTTGTGGAGTCGCTTTGTAGCATTTGCTTGAATTTGAGAAACAGTCAATGAATATCCAGGGAAGTTCAGATAGGCGCGTTCAAGAGAAGATGTATATTCAGTTTTTGTAAACAAGATGCATATGAGAGTTTTGCTTCCCTGTCCAATTGTCCAATATAACTGGTCAGTTGGCATTTTCCGGTATGATAACCCCGCAGAGAACGCCTTCTTCCTTTTACTAGTAGTTGGTGTACCTGACCAGGTGGCCACGAACGGTCGGTCGTGGTTCTCAGACTCCATGAGATGTGTACTGGTGATAGTTGCCAGTGCAAATGAGACAGGTGTATATTGCGTTGTTTCCGGAGGATCGAACGTTCTAGAGTCTAGTCATTACTGTGAAAATTCTCGACTTGCACCAATCAAGCCCAGTTAGACTGAGTATATCACAGTGGTTATGTCTAGATTCTAAATACGTAAGTAACATTCCCTGATTTAATCACTTTGAAAAACCGGACGGAATACTTTGGCCAAATTTTCGCTCCGCATGTGATGCGTAGCCAGTGATGAGAGGATTCTTCTGGCGGTTAATAGTACAATGTAAGCACCTAAAGCATTTGCCATTCCCATATTTCCATTGTGCTAAAAAAACGTGTAATATGCGATAGCAGATCATCAACTTGAATGCAACTCGAACTTATCGAAGAGGGTACAACTTCAAGGGTCTCATCTTGGTAACTCTTTGGAGTGGATAGTAATCCAATCAACAAATGGGCCGGAAGGCGCGCGGAATTAGATTTTCACTTGTTTGGCCGAAGTTAAAGATGGGTTTTTGTGTGTAAATTGCCATAACTTATTGACGATTGGGGGATTGGGATGCGCGGAATGAAGTTTGAGACACAGCAGTCCCGTACTGTGGTGTCTGGATTTGAAGAAAAGGCGCCGACCTAAATGGCGTCTCGACCGAGTGTTTCGTAGGAATGATCAAACGGTTTCAGACCCGTAAAATTCATCCACTAGACAGCTACGATCGTACGGGTATGACCAGTTTGCCCCCAACAATATATTGATCCGTATAAAACGAGCAAAATCTGACTAGCCTTTTTGCATTGGTCCCGGTAAACCTGACTCGCTGGTCGAAAGAATGATAGCCTGTCATGAACAAGCGCAAAAAGCGACGAGCTATTGGCGGATAACGTGGGTTTTGTTCACACTAGACTGTTCAAAACTAGTCAAGTAAATGCCATCTGATCGATCACCAACGTTTGGTGGCATCCTGCTGCACTGAACTAACCAGGGAAAATTCAGTGAACCAGAAAAAAAAACGAATTTTAAAACAAAAGAACAAATCATGCAGTATTTGAGAAGGAACAGAATGTCATTAGGAAGCAAGCAGTGCGAAAATTTCCCTCTCTGGAAAAGGTGAACAAAACAAACAGCACAAATCGGAGTTTTAAATTTCGATTAGGAAAAAGTTATGAAGTGTCATTTTTCATTTACTGTTGTTTAAGTCAACTTGGTTCCTGGATTCAGTTACTGGGTCGTCGTTCAATGGGTAGGCACACCAATCACGTTCGCCCGTTCAGACGTGATAATTCAGATGCGTCCAACGTGCGTTGGTGGAGTAGTGGTTACACGCTTGCCTCGCACGTCAGATGTCCGGGGTTCAAATCCCGACACAGCCATTGGATATGCACTGTTGATGAGCTCTAATAAGAGCGGAACTTGAGTCCAGTGCTTCCCTTCGGTGTGGACAATCCGAAATAATTACGCCAGAACGGGAACACGGCCGTTCAAACGAGAGTGGTGTGGCTATGAGCAAACATACCTATCCCGCAAAACCCCAAATTTGCAACCAAAAAGCTGCCCAGTGGGTTTCAAGCGTGCGTCACGCTACCTGACTGGGAAGTCTTGACTGGGGGGTCAGTCGATCGTGGGGTCGGTCGATCGTCGCAACCACGATAGTTACTGAGTCATCTGGTTCCGTTGTTAAAATGAATCGTGACTTTGTAGATGACGTAACACACTACTGTGGAATCCTATTGTCAAGGATTGATATATGCTTCATGAACAGATGCCAACATACATAGTAAGGAGTTACGTAGATCCATCGAAATATGTTTCGAAGAGTCGTCTGTACCAGAAAAACACCAGATATCATCTTTCGAATAACGCACCAAATTCTAGCAGATCATCCAAAAACAGCTTTACTACCAATTTCTGGACATTTTGAGATTGAAATTTTACTCCTTCCTTTGAAGTAGGCATGCCTCCAGCTAGAACAAGTGGACTCTCGGTCCAGACGTTTGGCCCTCCTCTGGAGGCCACCGTGAGACCATAGTTCAACTTGGATTGGGGACAAAAGGAATTGTGGCTGAAAATTATATGTACTCATTAGCGAATATACACTCATTTGCAACCTAATTTGGTTTTTCGAGAGACTCACCTGGAACCCAGCTGAATCTCTCGTTTATGATGTTCTCAGGCAACTGAATGTGCTGCCCCAGGCCGCCTTATGTTTCAGCCGCTACGATATTCGAGATGTCGCGATATATGTATATATTTGTAATGTAATACTCATAAGGTTGCCGAAACTCCGTCGACAGCCCACGACCGGTTTCGTTCTTTTTGGGGCTCATCAGTTAGGCGCAGTTCCCGAGTTTCAGTCAACCTTATATTCTACTTGAAACCGAATTGCACGAAATTAGCGAATATACACTCATTTGCAAACTAATTTGGTTTTTCGAGAGATTCACCTGGAACCCAGCTAAATCTCTCGTTTGTGATGTTGAAGTAGAACATGCGTTTGATGGAAATTTGGGGAGTGCGCCTACCCGATGAGCCTCAAAAAGGGCGAAACCGGTCGTGGGCTGTCGACGGATTTTCACCAGTCTTATGAGTAGTAGATTACAAAGATATATGTACTCATTCTTAAATACAGCATGTCGGACGTTGTTCGTTCTTGTTGTTAATTCCGTTGCACAGTATACTTTAGAAACATGGACCACTTGATATGAAAGCAATCGCTCAATTTTTCTACACTGCTAAATTACCAGCTTGTCCGAAAGTGACAGTTATTCGTTCATTGTGATGCTAATTTTACACTACTCCTATGAAAATAGTAGTTAATGTTATCCGTCAATGGGTCGAGGACAGACTAACCCTGTGGTGAACTTACCTGGACAGACGGATGTAGAAATGCAGTAGATGAATTACACTGCCGAAAACCAAATGAGCTGTCTTGTCGCCAGCCAGGCAGTAACCCGAACGAGGTAGGACGGTGATGATGTGGTGTTCAACAGTCTGCTCAGGTTCGCTTCCAATTGGGTAGTTTGATTCACTGCTGATGCACCGACTAAGCACCATAGCATCCGTACTGTTGCTGGCTCGCAGTACAAAGTTCTGCGAATTGAGAAGAAGGTGAAATTGCTTTATTAGAACCAAATATATTGAACCAGATGTGTGAACATATAGACCATAAAAGAAAGATGCAGCTAGGATTCAGGTAAGTCTCTGGTGAAGACCAAATTAGTACGCAACTGAGCGTACTGGTTGATATGAGCTGTGTTCCCGGTAAGAAAGCCATACCACGCATTGAAGCAACAGTATAACTGTGACGATCCTCGGCTGTTGCGTTAATTGATTAGTTCTAAGGACTGCTTCGAGCGCTTCGTTCTCTGGCTCCGTTCACCATAAAATCGCTTTAGATGAGTAAGCAATACCGAGTACTACTCAGTCTTGAAAGTTTATTAAATGCCACATTTTTAACGAATTTACCAAAAAACAGGGATTTAGTCAAATTTCTACGTGTAACAGTATACAACGCATTCATTTTTGCAAACAAATTTCACGTTCTACAATCAGAAACGTTTTGATGGTTAATAGGTATGGGCGAGTCATATTCACCAATACGTCTGGCTCACGATTTATATCCGTTTTGTGATACGCATTCCAAGCTGATCGCGAGACTGAGAGAAGATTTCTCTGGCCGCTTGGACTTTATTATCAGAACCAGTTTATATGTGTGTAGTGTCTGTAATCCGTTGTCACATTTACCATTCTCTCTGAACTTAAACCACACTTTGTAACTGTCGCTCACATTGTATCATGACGTTTGTTTTAATGTTACGAATACAATTTTCTTGGCGCGACTTCCCTGCTTTTCGCTGAGTCAGTGAAATTGCATCCGATTGAGCTGATTGCTGTTTGCTGAAGTCGTGAGATTGGGTTATTGTGTTTGTGTGAACTGTTAAACGTCACAATAACTCCTTGTGACAATTTTCAGCTGTGATAACTGTCCACCGTGGAATTTATTTCTAAAACTCGAACTAACAGTGGAGAGTATCCTTCTTACTCTGGATATATTCTCCGCCGCCGAATACAATTACTGCACAACATTTCGTGTAGTGGAATTATTGGACCTCCAATTTAGTGAGTCTATTACGTTCACTTGTCCATTCCTTATTGCCATTTGTTATTTCTAAGCTGGTATTTTGGTTGTATATCCTATCGAACACGCATACATAGGTCCTTGTCCGCTACATGTGCTTAATTGGCAAGCACACCTGGACTAGTTGTGATCTAGTGGCCCCGAAGGAACCATTGGTTATATTCTTTCTTCTCCGAAGCCTATCCTGTCTGATTCCTTCCAAAAAAGGTGTTTCGCTCGCTGGTGCCTTTTTTCGCGGATTAAAATGTGGCACCATGACACCATGGAACGAGCCTTGTTGCTTATAGACTTTCATGCATTCAACGTATTTCCATATCCATGGCAAACACTTTCCCGATACCGTTGTTAGCAAATCCATCGTGTGTGAAAGCAGATCCAGCGAGCTACCTACGTCACCACCTAGTTTCTATATAACCGGACTATGAAGCGATCGCTACGCTCCATAGGTTGTGGAAGGAACTACACAAAAATCTGCGGCCTACCGTCTCTTAGACAAAGAACAGCACTAGAGACAGAAGCTGTCCGCTCCAGAACAAGTGCACTATGGTGCTTTTATCTAACAGGGGGTTGATGGAATCAATTACGGGGAAGAAAGTCAGACGTGACAAGACATCTTCAGTGTTGGACGAACTCGCGCTCATAATAGTTCGCTGGTTTGATACGAATAATCTTACTGGGAATTCCAGTATTGTCTAGATATGTTTCACCAACCTACATGTCCCTAGCCACCATTTCACCGGGCTGGTGAGACCAATTTCGGCGTCATCCATCCTCGTTCCATTTTTCCAGAGAGAAGTTGCTGGCCGATGAGACCTGAGATTGCATTGCTTTCCCCGCGGTCTGCACAGAAAGTTGTTTGGAAGCTACCTGGCTCTGCTTTGCCACTATTCAGCGACTCTTCCTAACCCCATTTCGGTGTTTGCCTATTGGGTTTCATCTGAAAAAACCCTCAGGTGTGGTAAGGTGTCCGGAGCACCATGACGCGGGCTTGTGAGAACGCTGTAGAAGCTTTACCCAGTTCCGAGGTTTTCTTCCAAAAAAAGTGACGCAGGTGGATCCGCTCTCACCGATTTCGTTTATGATGGTGATGGACGAGGTGGCTGGACTGTTGCTGCCGCAACTGGACTACGAAACCCCTGACACCTTATGGATGGCTTTGTCCTTCCTGACTACTGGGTTGTATGTGTGTGTGTGTCTTAAAGAGAGTCCGGAGACTTTTGAATTTGAGCTGGGAAGAGCTGGTATGGCGAACAGATCAAGGCAAATGTTGATGGACTAGAGACAGTTTTGTTTATGTAAGTCTCCATTTTTATTTCAAAAGTAAACATGTCTGTGACCACCGGCAACAGCAGCTGAAACCAATCGGTGAGATGGTCCGTTTAAGCTGCATCAAACAGTAAAGAGAACACGGAATGATTTAATATCGGGGCTGTCTAATTCGGTCCTCCGTGCTCGGTCAAGCCCACAAGATTACCCCAAAATGACTGTGTGGTTGTATCAGATGGTCCGAGCGCGGATGGTTACGCCCACCGAAGGACAGGTGACAACCAACATGAGCCGTTCGTTGTTTCAGGTGTTAGTACAAACATGACGACAAGGATGAAAGCGGTCAGGAGGGAATTGTTGTCCGCGTTGTCCCAGGATGTATGTTTCTCCTGATGCGCAGGTTGCTGAGGACGAGATCATGAAGTGTCTGGTTTGATCATGTTGATCAGGTGACCTTCTGTTTGGAAAGCTATTGTCGCCAAGACAGATTCGTGCACATTCTGAAATGCTGCAAGATCAACTATGATGTCCAACGGGCAAACCTCTCCATTGTTTAAAAAATACAGTTTTCAAAGAGTTAAGTGCACCCACTTTACGTCTTTTATCAGTTTCGATCTAATTGCTGTTCTGTAGCACCAAGCAACCATGATAGACAAGAGAATGGCCTTGGATTAGCGTGGAGTGATTGTGCTGGAATTAGAGAAGCAAAATTATGGTGCTGACGAATTTTCCCTAGCCAATAGCTCACTCTTTCTTGCCATTGATTGTGATGTTGATCTTTTAGTTCACTTTCCAGTGATGATCCAATGATGATCCAGTACGCAACGACGACGCTTTTTTGCGCGGTGAATGGCGCTGAGTGTTGTCTTGTCAATGACTTCCACACCTAACCATGTTTGTGCGCGTCTAAACCGTTCTGGCTCTCTCTGCTTCTTCAGCAGTTTTGGAATTTACTTTTTTTCGTTCATATGTTATCTTCTGCCCACGTGTTTCAACGTCAAACTCTAATACCTATCTCCAACTTGATTTAACTCCACTGACCCAGCTAGTGATGGCTCACTTTTGTGGGGAACGTTTCCGTCCTTTTTTGTTGTGCGCATTCTTCCGCCCCGGCTGTGCCTTTTTTAGTTTTGTTAATGTGTCTTTTTGAAAATAAACAGTTCTACTAGGTGTAGTGGTAATAGCCCGAGTAGGCTAGCTCTTCAGTGACTGACTGGTGCGATCCGTTCATTCGCTGATTTCTTTGAAGTTAAACTTAGCTACTTGCAAAGTAGGAGTAGTTTATCGAAAACAAATGTGTGACGGACTAGTGGGCATTCTGTTACAGGTTATTCGCTTCTGGACGTTCTAACTCAAAACTGTATGGGCCGAGGTAGCTGCAATACACTCCCATACCATTGGCCTAGGTTCATAAATTTCTGAGTCCACTCTGTCAAAATAATCACCACGTGGTGTTATAGGTTGCGCAGTAAACAATACGACAGAGTGTTAGCGAAATACACTCATTTGCAAACAAATTTGGTTTTGCTAGAGACTTACCTGGAATCCAGCTAAATCTATCGTTTGTGGTGTTTTTAAGCATTGCGTAGTGCATTACGAATATACATATATCGCGATATCTCGAATATAGTACCAACTGAAACATGAGGCGACCTGGTGCAGCATATGAGATTCAGCGGGTTCCTGGTGAGACTCTCGCATAAACAAACTGTTTGCAAATGAGTGTAGTTCGCTAATTTCGCGCAACTTGGTTTCATATAGAACGTAAATTTGATGGGAACTCTGAGACTGCGCCTACCTGATGAGCCCCACGAAGGGCGAAACCGGTCGTGGGCTGTCGAGGAGTTTTCAGCAACCTTATGACGACAAAGTACTGTTTACGCTCTTCTATAGGTGTCTTCATTATCGTTTGGGGAGAATATCTCTGTGAATTTTCTCATTGCGTGCCCTCTATGAGTTACATGTTTCCCATACTCCGTTTCCGGTTTCGCTCTGTTGGATTGTTCAATCGATTCCCCCTCTAACCGTATACATCAGGAGTCGTTGGAATACGTTGTGTATAAGAAAATTACTGAACCGACGAATACGAATGGGGATAAAAATAATTGTTTTTGTTTAATGTCAGCTGTTAATATCGATTTCCATTCAAACCATTCAATCAAACCAATCTGGTTTGACAAACACTTTGGTGTGATTCATCAAGCACGTCAAAAACAATCTGTCACGATAACCCCAAGTCTATCAAATACATAAATGACTGTGTGATATCCTGGTGCAAATGGCGCCAGTCTAGGCAATCATTCCTTGACAAATATGCCTAAACTTGCTGCACGACGGTCCAATCAAAATTCTTAAATCAGTGAATACTGTACAGAACTTGCATTTAGCTAACACAAGCCCGCAGCAAAAATAAGTTCTCCGTTTTGGCAACCTCTACACCATATATAGGTGACAGTTTCATCCATTGTCGCCTACTTTGTCTTTTCAGTTAGCAAATGTGTCCATATCGTAGTTAGGTAGTTCCTCCCTGCCCCCCCCCATGGCAAGCAACCTCCACACAAGCCGTTCGCGTGCAGTGGAATGTCCATTAGCGGAGCCATTCGTCCAATTGACGGTGCCCATCCTGAGTGACGAACGGTTCCTCACCGTACATCCAATACTGACCATAATCAGTCCATCAGTAATA